TCTCTTGCTTACCATAAGAGAATTCATACTGGAGAGAAACCTTATGAGTGTAATACATGTGAGAAGGCATTTCGTAATAAAACTCACCTTACACGACACCAGCGAATTCATACTGGAGAGAAACCTTATGAATGTGATGAATGTGAGAAAGCATTTCGTCGTAAAACTCACCTTATACGACACCAAAGAATTCATACTAGAGAGAAACCTTCTATATGTGGGAAGGCTTTTCACCAGAGTACATCCCTTAGTCAACACCAGAAAATTCATCCTGGGGAAAAACCTTATGAGTGTAATGATTGTGGAAAGGCATTTGTCCTGAGGGCAAGACTTATTCGACATCAAATATTGCATACTAGAGAGAAACCCTATAAACGTAATCAATATGATAAAGCTTTTAATAGGAGCTCTTCTCTTGCTTACCATAAGAGGATTCATATAGGAGAGAAACCTTATGAATGTAATGAATGTGGGAAGGCATTTCATCATAAAACTTACCTTACACAACACCAGAGAATTCATACTGGAGAGAAACCTTATGAATTATAATACATGTGGGAAGGCTTTTCACCAGAATACACATATACCTTACTAAACACCAGAAAATTCATACTGGGGAAAAACCTTGAGTGTAATGATTGTGGAAAGGACAAGACTTGATTCAACATCAAATGTTGCATACTGGAGAGAAACTATAAATGTAAGCAATGTGATAAAGCTTTTAATAGGAACTCTTCTCTTGCTTACCATAAAAGAATTCATACTGGAGAGAAACTTTATGAATGTAATACATCTGAGAAGGCATTTCATAATAAAACTCACCTTACATGACATCAGAGAATTCATACTGAAGAGAAATATTATGAAAGTAATATATGTGGGAAGGCTTTTCACCAGAATACACACCTTATTCAACACCCGAGATTCTTACTGGAGAGAAATCCTACCAATGTAGCATGGGTGAGAGGCCTTCTTTTGAAGCTCATCACTTACTTTTCACCACACAATTCATACTAAAGTGTAGCCCTATAAATGCAATGACTGTGGCAAAACTTCCGCTGATAAGTCATTGCTGTCTTATTACAGAATTCATATAGGAGAGAAACCATATGAATGTAGTGAGTGTGGAAATACTTTCCGCCATCACTTGTAACTTTTTCAAATATCAGAAAATTCACAGTGGGAAAAAACAAAACAAAACTGAATATAAGGTTTTCAGCAAAAGCATTAATCATACTGAAAATTAGAGAATTCATACTAAGTCAAGTCTATAGATGAAGCCTCTCACTGTCTAATTTCCTACATTGAATGTTTCAAAGCCTTTTTGTCTCAAACTTTCACAGGTTCTGCCATGCTGGAAAGGCTTCACGTGTGGCCTTCCTGCTGATTGAGTAGATCACAGAACCAACTTAAATGAAAGAAATGATTAGATTAATACTAAGGCATCTGAATTACTATAATAAACTGCAGGTGGGGAAGATCTTGCTGTTTTGATCAGAATTTGTAGTCATTCCATGGCCCAAGCAGGAGTTAAATTAGTGCTTGAACGTGTCATATGTATAAGATTCAGTTCCTGAAGTATCTCATTCTTTCAAAATGATATTGATACAATTAGAAAAAGGGAAAGAAGCTTGTGAAACAAAGATTTAAATCTATTAAGTTGTGAGGTTAAAGTCAGGAACTTCTTTTTTTTTACTGACTGTACTGAAGTCCTATTCCTTAAAAGAAAAAAAAGAAGTTCCTGACTTTTTTTTCTTTTAAGGAATAGGACTTCAGTACAGTCAGTTATCTTAGTGGAGAGTAACTTAAGAACTACCTTGTGTTACCTTAATAGGAATCTGATTTTGCTTATGTTTATTTAATCTGGAATTAGAAAATGTTTGTACAGCATGTCCTGAAATGCATACAAATTAGTCAAGTGTCATCTCAAAGATGTTCTATTTTGTAAAGGACTTCTAAATAACAGTAGTCTGTTTTTATGTCCATTTGAACATGATTAATAATGGAACATGTTTTACTAAAGACAACTTTTTATGTAAGCTATTCTCTGTATATAATTTGATGTTATGTTTACACATCCCAGCCCTAGTCTTTTGTAGTTTGTTACTAAGCATCCTAAAGCAAATTCATTTGTGTAATGTTGAACCTAGAGATGAAAAAGCATCTTCTTACCATGAGTACTGGTAGCTATGTATTCATATATGGGATTAGATTCTTAAAGTATCTTCTCATCCTAAAAGAGAAATTGTCAGGAGTGGAAAGTTTTAAGGAAGCAACAATATGAGATGATTTATATGTTAAATAAATTATTGTAATGGAATATATAGGCCTTGAGCATGTTCTAATAACAAGTTCTGCAAAGGCTTCAAGTATGATCATCAAGGAGTGCTATTAAGCCAATGATCCATGATGCCAGCCCCTCGAGTTGATATCCATGAAATGCAGGTGAAGTTCTCATGGGAAGGGTTGGGAGAACGACTTTTGGCATTGGTTGATGTGGGAGTACCCTGACTCAATTTCCCCAGAATGACATTTCCTCTTGAATGGAAAATATCCCACCTGGATGACTTTAAGTCTGGCTCAATGCAATTGGCTATCTATACAACTCATTCCTGGATTGACATCAAGATAGGGGGCAGCTATGTCCCCCTTCTTTTATGGCAAATTTCTACAATCATGTTAGGTGATCAGTATAAACTCAGCTAAGTAGATCTTTTAGTTTAATGCTGGACTACATCTGAGTTACTAAAGTAAGATGCAGGTATAAGATTTGAGCTATTTGGTTTAGAATTTTAGTCCTTTCTATATTCTCAACAAGTAAATAGATACTTAGCCTTATTATCTGTTAGTACACACATGTATGCACACACACATACCTGTGTGAGATAAGATCTTTTAATTCCTCACAACGGTGTGGGGATAATTAGGTAAATGATATGAAGACTTGTGAAACCAGGATATAATTCTGTTATTTAATGATGTTAATATCATAACTGTCTCAATTCTTCTGTGTTAATGAAAAGAATAGCACAATTAGTTATCTTGAAAGAAAAATGGCCCATGGTCCAGAGAGATCCACTTTTACTAGGTTTACTAGGCTACAAAGTTGAAAATATTATAAACAGATAATTTAATGAGTGCTGTTCTTTATATATTTACATATTCCATTCCAACATCTTTTGTTAAAGTTTTAATTATCATGGCAATTTTTGAAAGAATTCCTTAGAGTCCATCTTCTTATAAAAAGTGTCATGTTCTTGGTTACTTAGCAGACTCCCATCCTCTTAATTGGAGAATAAATAATGCCAAGTATAAAAATTGGGTTATGTATCAGCATGGCAGTTGGCTAACCTAAATTCTCTAGTCTAAAAAGTTACATAAAATTTGAGCTAACTTTCACTATTTGACCTGGATATTGGCAAAGTAAATTTAAAATTGTGTTAAGACCCATTTTGTAGGAGATTTTTTTTTTTTGACAGAGGAGAGGATTTCAACAAGTGCCCTAAATCAGAGAAGTCAGTCAGCTAGAAACTGCTGAGACCACACTCAGACCAAAGGGCTGCATCATATAGTGTCCTCAGAACCAGAGAGCTATATGAGATAAGATTTCTAAGCTTTAAATGGACACTTTTAATTTTTTGCTATTGGCTTTTTCCTTATTTGCCTCTTATCTTTAAGGTTTGCTTACTAGAGGTGACTGACCCCCTTTGATCTTGTCAATATGCCAGTCAGTCTCTCTCCCTTTTTCCTCTTCACATTGTTTCCCATCATAAGCCCTATAGTTAAAAACCCTTGATGAAGTGTTTGTCATATCAGTTAATGATTCGTTGAGGGAACTATGTCTCCCAATAGAATCAAATGAGGGAATGAAATGATTATTTCCCTCATGTTAATAAGCAATTACTGAATTAGGACCAGGATTTTTTCAGAAACCTGTAGGTTGTTTAGTCTCTGAAGGACATTGTTGATGAATGAGATTGCCTAAATCCCCTGGGGTACATGCTTTTTGATCCTGGGTGGGAGACCCCACCCAACTAGAGAAACTTATAAAGAATTTAAGGTGAAATCCAGCCCATTGTGTTCTATTCAGGTCTGAGTGATCAAAGTCATGTCCCCCAGCCCCTCATTAGAATAGGTCCACCTCTTATATTCTTTCTTCACGTTGTTAACCAATTAGAGTTGATTGCTATCCTTAGGAATACCTACTCTTCCAATGGCATATAATCATTGAGTCAGTTCCATGAGGGTCCTTTAGCATTTGAGAGTGTCCCTGACCCCTTTTATTAACTATCTGCTAGCGTGATTAGTAAAATGATTAATTGCCCTGAAATTATGTCTCTCGAACTCTACACATCACATAAGAATCAAGAGACTCCTCACTAGTTGATTTGTCACTAAATGATAAATTATTTGGCCATGAAAACCCATTAAACATAGAAAAATATAAAATAGTCCTTAGTCATGTGTGGCTTGAGTATTGATGGTAGAATGATGGAAAAGGGCAGAACAGGGAGAAGGGTGCTAAGAATCAGTTTTTAGATCATCTATAAATATTAACTGTTGATCTTTTACATGTGAGATATTTGTCCAGGGGACAGTGAATTCACTTACTTCTGAAAGAACTGAGCCACGTAATCGATAGTCCCATCATAAACTAATCCAGAAAAAAAAATGATGTTTCATATAAATGGAAGGATTGTTCTCAGGTTCTCCTTGAAGAGGCAAAGGAAATGTTAGAACTACTTTCATTTTGAACCTAGCAACATGAATTCAACTCTAGGAAACTTGCCCATTTTATCTTACAGGGCTCCTGATAAACATAAGTAAGAAGGAATACTTTGAGATGTTTATTTTAGGTGTTGAAGAGATAGAAAAATGTTACAAAGAACTTGAACAATGTTCCATAAATATGTCTTGATAAACAGTAACTTTAGGGCAAATGTGGGCACAAAAGGTCATAGTGAAAGATATATTGGAAAGTATGGCTCAGGTTTCAAAAACAAAAGAAATGAAAGGTCAGTGGATTCAGAAGCCTCATGATTGATTCCACAAATATTTCCAAAAGAGAATCAGAAAGCACTGGTCATGCCAAACAACAAACATCATCAGGAAAAAAAATGAAATTGACCATGCTTTAACAAATAGGAAATTACAGTCAAAATTACTTCAATGTAACAATCTGATAGTGATGCCAAATATTGGGAAATAGATATTTGCCTTATCACTTTTTTTCTTTGAAGGTAATAAAATAAAAATAAAAGTGGTAAAATGCATTTAACAATCGCAAAATATTAAGAATTTGGTACTTGACTGACATAGAACAAACCCCTTTTTTTTTTCTTCCATTAATTGGAATTTCTTATTCTGAGTTCTATTATTATTCCAAGAGAGAGGTAGCATGCCTTGGTTGATGGGTAACTAACTGGCTTTGGAGTCAGGAAAACCTGATTTTAAGCCCTGCATTTGCCCAGTGCAATATAAACACATTTGGGATAGGAGCTAGTTTTTGTCTTGTTTCCCTAGTATATAGTGCCTAGTGGGTATTTTAAAAAAAACATTCATTGGGGGCCACTAGTTGGTGCAGTGGGTAGAACACTAGTCCTGGAGTAAGAAGGACTAAAGTTCAAATCCAATCTCAGACAGTTAGTAGCTCTGTGAACCTGAGGAAGTCCCTTCACCCCAATTGCCTCCAAGAAAAAAAAAAATCATTGAATTGAAATCTTGAATTGACACATAGTAGTGATGTGACCATGAGCAATTCATTTAATCTCAGTGCACCCACACAACTGTGGCAGGTGAAAGATAAAATGACTGAAGAAACAAAGTTTCAGTCTAAGTATATTGATTTATTAAGCAGTACAAGCCAATTGCCGAACAACCAGGACTAGATCTCCTGAGCTTAGGTCTGGACCCCGAATACAGGGGAGACAGACTCTTACATATTAAAAATAAGGCCAATTAATTAAAAAGAAACAAAACAACATTAATTTGATTTCCAATTGGAGGAAAGATTAAGGACTTTCCAAGTTGGGAGGGGAGAGAGTAAAGTTACAATTCCCTAAATTCAGAAAAAGAGGTGTCCCACTGAGAGATATAATGAAAATGTGTGTTCCCATAAATTTGGAGCAAACAGCTAGAGAAGTAACCAAGTAAAATAGGATACAGTAGGTCTTCTCTTGTTTTGCTGATACAAGTTAATCAGAACAAAAGATTCTATAAAATTGAAACAACTGCTAAAAGTAACTAGGTAAAATAGGATAAAGCTGGTCTTACCTTGTTTTGCTGACAGAAGTAGGAAAAAGGTTAAGCTTTGCTTAGAGTTCGCATGCTTAATAGGCTTATAAACATTAACTTCTCCACCTCCAGGAGGGGCTAAGACACCGTTTTCTGAACTTGGGATGTATGAAGAAGGAGCGATGACATGTCAAGTTGTAGATATGTAATGGGCATACCGGAAAGTTGTACACTCTGGAGTATTCAGCCAATAAGGAAACAGGAGGACTTTGCAGCTAGGATTAGAGATAAATAGTGAACTCCTCCTTTGGTACAATGCGTCCTAGTCCATAGAACACCTGCGGTTGCAACTACATAATAAACTGGCCTTTTAACTTCATCCCTCTTGAGTTTGAATGAGTTATTTCTCACACCACTCCCTGCAATAATCTGTAAATAATCAAGGGAACATTTAAATAATAGCTGACTGA